AAAGAAAATAATAATTTATTAGAATTAATAAAATAAGTGATAGTGTTCTAGTTTTTGTCCTGGTGTTTTGCCAGCCAAGGTTTTGGGGGTTGGTGTTTCCTTGAAGCTCGTGTCTGGCATACGTTCTGTCTTGCTCCTTCACCTCTGAGGCTGAACTTGAAAGCCAGAGCATACTAGCTACCTACTTGACTTCACTAATAGGATCTAAACCCACCCTGAAAGCTGGTTTCCAGCAAATGAGTTTCCCATGATCCCATTCACAATTTAGAAGACAACTTTACACTTTTTCAGTTCACCTGTTTTTCTTTAAACAGGTTTTGTTGATATAGTTTGCTTAAAGCCTCTTCCAGAAGAGTTAATTGTAAAAAGGTGTATTATTTTGATGTTGCCTGCTGAGTTAGCTTTCTGCCTTTGCTGGTAAGACCAAGGAGTATTGCATCTCTTTGAATGGAAATGTTTTTTTGCTACCATTCAGAGGAAATTACTATTGTAGTACAATTTGGTATAAGCATCACAAAAAGATATTAAGGATGATCATTCTTTTCACTATTCTGCATAAATACCAATTTTCAGTGTCACCTCCTTTAACATCAAGGATTCAGTCATCGCAAATTTAGGGACAAGACCAGTCCTGACTGCTGGGAGTAGGAATGTTAGGAATACAGGGGACAGATGCAATTAAGTAGGAACAAACAAAAACCTGAATTAGCGTGAGATGTGAGCAAACCAAAATAACCTCACTTCCATATACTGAGATTAAAAATAAAAATGCCAATTTTTATTTTTAGATCTGAATTTGGACGCTGGATCTGGTCATGACACATGTGGAGAAACATCATCTGAAAGTTACAGTTCTCCTTCTAGTCCACGACATGATGGGAGGGAAAGCTTTGATAGTGAAGAAGAAAAAGACAGAGGTGGTATTTATGGATAGTGTGCATGAATGTCTTTATTCCTAGACTAATCTCTTTCTTGTATTAATTTGAATTAATTTCTTAGTTTTTTTAGCTGCTTTTATTTCTGAGCTAGCCACAGAACACATCTTGCTTTGTGGGTTTTGTGACTGGATGGTTTGAAGACTTCTAGCAAATAGCAGGACTGTTTAAATACCATTGAGTTTTAGATTACTACATACATGTAGCAATTTTATGACCTCAGTGGCATAGCTCTTTTGAGAAATTTCAGCAGTATGGCAATGGCAAAAACTTTGGCGTGAAAAGGACCGGTTTTATATCGAATTATGTGTCTGAGGTGTCCTTCTTTTTGTATTGACAGTTTAATTTGCCACCCCTTCCAAATTTGAATAAGTTGTGTTAGTGTCTTTCTAGGTAGATGCAAATTCCTAACTCGGTCTGTGTCCTACTCTTCACATTTGCAGATATACACAAGTCAAAGACACAGTAGGTAGTTGGGCAGTTTGATATAGGCAAGTGATGGAGATTGACTTAGCTTGATTTGTATGAATGAAAATAATCTCAAAGTTCTTCTAATTCAGGAAGACATAACTATCATTTTGCATCATCAAACTTAGGAAGTTTTATATGGGTAAATGAGTCCAGGACGTGACTATATTGTTTCAGACTCGTTCTTCTGAATCTGACAAATGCTTTTGTCTCCACAGATACAGACAGCAATTCTGAGGACTCTGGGAATCAAAACACAACCAGGTTTACAGGCTACAGCGCTGTCAGTTCATCAAATATGAACAAATCATCTGCTCAGATGTCTTCAGTGAATAATGAAAATGGAAGCCTTTCAGAAGATCCTTTGAATGCAAAGTTTCAACATATTTCCCTCATGCCTGCCTTACACTGTGTGATGCACAGCGCTGCCCAAAAGCCTGAAGCAGTTGTCCCACCACCCATATCTGCAGATGGTAAAACAATAGGAATGCTTGTTACAACGCCTGTTGCTGTCTCAGCAGTGAGAGAGTCTGCAAATTCACCTCCTGGTGGAATGGGCCCGGTGACCTCTGGTGAACCTGAGAAACGCCTTGAGCTGATGGCTTCCCCTTTGCCAGTCCCAGCCACTTTCCTTCCGCATTCTGTCCAGCCTGGTAGCCCTGCTTTGCAATTGGGAATACATAGATTGAAAATGCCCTCTCCACAGGGATCATCGGAAAGTTGCACAGTTAATGGACCGCAGCAGCCAACCGGCAACTTAAGTATCGGATCACCAAATACTGCCTTTATCCCAGTCCACAGTCCAGGTAGTTTCCCAGGTTCCCCAGTTCCTACTACAGATCCCATCACAAAACCTGCGTCCCAGGTGGTAGGACTGAATCAAATGGTGCCTCACATTGAGGGAAACCCAGGAGCAATCCCTCAGCCTACCAATCTAAAGGTAGTTCTTCCAGCAGCTGGTCTCTCCACAGCAGCACCGCCACCTCCACCAGCTTCATACGCTTTGCCAGGCAGTCCTCATGCTACCAGTGTGTTGCCCAACCAGAACACAAACGTGCTAAACACTGTAGCGAGTTCCTCACCACCTCAGTCGGCTGGTTTAGGTGTTGGTCAGGTCCAGTCCACTGTTCCTCCTGCAATACCTACACATACGCCAGGCCCTGCCCCTAGCCCGAGCCCTGCTTTAACACACAGCACTGCACAGAGTGACAGCACATCCTACATAAATGCTGTTGGAAATAATAACACTAACGGGACAATGTTACCTCTGCAGCAGTTGGGGTCTGGTCCTTGCGGTTCTTGCGGACGTAGGTGTAGCTGTGGGACCAATGGAAGCCTTCAGTTTAATAACTATTTTTATCCTAACCCACTTCCTGGACAACTCTACAGAGTTCCATCTTTCTTTACTCTGCCATCACTTTGCAATGGCAGCTACCTCAATCAAGCACATCAAAGCAATGGAACACAACTTCCTTTCTTCCCGCCTCAGTCTCCATATGCAAATGGGCTTATGCATGACCCAGTGATGGGGAGCCAAGCCAACTATGGTATGCAGCAGATGGCAGGATTTGGGAGGTTCTATCATGTATATCCAGCACCTAACGTAGTTGCCAACACAAATGGGTCGGGACCCAAGAAGAATGGGAACGTTTCATGTTACAATTGTGGTGTAAGTGGACACTATGCGCAGGACTGTAAGCAGTCATCCATGGAGGCCAGTCAACAAGGTAATCATGATAACTCCCAGCGGACTTGCTTTTGAGTTTAGCAGTTTCTCTTTACCTTTCTGAATGTGCTGTTTCTGGTCTTGCAGAAAGGTGTGCGTGCGTGTGTATGTTTTGTGTAAATGGTTGTGCACTAGTGACCTGCTCTAAAACTGCAAAGTATCTTATCTCTGCCTGAAAATTTTGTAGAACAGTGCAAGGGAACGGGGTTCACAGTGTGAAGTTGAAAATGAGTATGATTTGGAGCTGGGAAGTCAAACTATATCAGTCCTACATTGTCATTCCTTTTTCACTGGTATGTTTTTGGTGTTATGTTGAGACTTGCATGTTGTTTCAATTTTCTCATTCCTGTTCAGTGGGTTTTTTGGAGAGAATTCATTGGCAAAAGGTGAAAGATATCAATTACTGCCTATGATATGAACTTGGATTCTTAAAACTTGTGAGAATTTTAAAAAACCCCAAGTCTCGCCATTTGATAATTTAACTTTTCTAAAGCTTACCTTTGTACAATCAGCCATCCTTCTGTGCCCCATCATGCAATGCAGAAACGAAACATGCTTTAACTTTTCAGACAAGTTGCAGCGAAAAGGCAGAAACCAATTGCAACTAAAAATCAAAGGAATGGCTTCAGTCTTATATGCCGTTTCTCTCTCCATCCAGAAGAATGGAGAAAAAGCAGTGTTTGCATAGAGCATAAACTATTTTTGATTCTCGGCCTGTGCCCATTCTGACTTTACTTGTTTGGTTGGGCTGGAACAGGAAGGACGAACCTTGATGGGGTCTTCTTTTCTTTGCATTTTTCCAGTAAAGGTAAAGTCCTATATCTACAGTCTATATCTTTTTTAAACTGACAGTTTTAGCAAAGAGATGAAAGAAAATAGTATAAAATCTTAGGACCTACTTTAAAAGGACTGGAGGATGATAGTGCCTTTTGAAGAGCATGTCCATTTTGATACCTTGTAGTGGTTTTGTAATCCATTTTAATTGTGAGCAGTGACTTAGTAGTTCTCTTTCCTGTTTTAGGCACTTACAGACTGAGATACGCACCTCCCCCTCCCCCTTCCAATGATACCTTGGATTCTGCAGACTGAAACAAGTAAACATTGCCTACTTAAACTGAAGCTTGGGAAATTGGGGGAAGGTGTGTGTGGGAGGTGGGGGGGTGGTCTTGTGTTTTGGGACATTCCCAGTTCTATATTCTTTTGGAATTTTTCATTGCTTTTGCACCTCTGTTCCATACAAAAGAAGAAAGCTGAGTCCCTGGTCTCCTCCTGGTTCTACAAAAGGCTTGCGTAATGCATGTAATTCAAACACACAGCCAAACAATCAAAAAGAGCATTCGAACCATGCTTTTGCACTGAAGACTTGAGACATGTGCAATGTTTACTGCATTTTTTAAAAAAAAAAAAGTCCTCTGACCTCTGACATCACTGGTGGAGCAGCCATATGATGAAAGAAGAAACTTGGTCATGTTCCCCACCACAATCTTCTTCCCTCCCTCCCTGTTCTCCTTATGCTGCTGTTTTATTTTCTTTCCCCGTTTGTCCACGTGGATTCGTTGGACTTGCATGAGAGTTTAGCAGTTCATACAGACCCTGCCCACGCTCTAAATTAATGGTCATGAATTGAGGGGAGATGTTCAAACGTCCTATTAGGAGAGTCCAAAGGAACACACTAATACTGTATGTGTACTATATCTGATAATAATACATATACACAGCTCTAGAGAGTCCCAAATAAATGAAAATACATAGAGCAGGAAGGGGCTGCAACTGTGTGGACTGGAACAGATTTAGAAAAATGAACAAGCTTAAATTGACAGATTTTTCTGCCGTGGTAGCTTTTTAGCCTGTATGTTCAGCAACAAAAGTGAAAAAAAATGGTATGAATGTTGTACACAGTGTGTTTGCATTTGTAATGAAAGTTGACAGCATTTTTTCTTTTTTTAAAGCTATTCTACATCGTGTCAACACAGAATGAACATTACTTGATTCAATATTTTTTTCCTAAACTATTACAGTGTTGCATTGTACTTAGAATGTAAATGTTTTATTTCAGACTGAACAAAAGCTATGGTTTTCTACAGAATAGTCAGGTATTAGTATTAGAACCTGTCTACCAAATAGCAAAGTCACTATTTTATAACAATTTACCACTATGCGTAATTACGGTATAATGTGAAAGACTGAAATGAGTGTTAAGATGGTATTAATCATGTCAGTATCATGAGTAAGTTTAATGCTGCTGTATTTTTTATTTTATTTTTAAAAGCCAATATATGTACTAAATTGCTTCCAGGTAATATTTGATTTCCTAAAGTGCACTGAGGTTATCTGGAAGATGAGTGTATTTTTTGACTGCTGCATTCAACACCGATGAACAACTACCACTGTATATCCATAGGGTTTGGCATTCCTCACAGTTCATGGCAGAAATGTTTTTTCTTAAAATCAGAGCTGGTGTCCAGTAGAGGGATGAAATAAAATCAATCTTTGGTTAAGCTGTCTAATAAATTGCTAAACAAACAAAAAACTTGAAGAAAAAAAAAAAAGCTTGATTACTACATTTCTTCATAGGTAGCATTTATATTTATAGCACCAGTGTACATTTTGAAACTTTTTTCTTGGAGGGGGGGAATGGGGAGGGAGGTAGATGAAAGCTTTAATTTAAAAAAAAAAAAAAAAAGTTTAAGTAGTAAATGAAAATTATTTTGATTAAAATTTTTATTTGATCTGGGTATTTTTGGACCACTTGAAATGAATGAACTGCGTTTGAGTTGAAGTGAGGGTGTTAAACCACCAATGGACTTGTTTTGTGAATTACCTGCCAGTTGTACTTTATGGAACTTATTTTATGATTTAAGATACTGTACTGTAAATAGGAGGTATGTTACCTTCTCTTTATTTGTATGTTTACCATATACTTTGATATTTGAAATGTACTGGAAAGGTCACTTATATTTGTAGAAGAGATTGGATTTTATGCAACCTTTTTCCTTGAATTAACAGCAATAAAAAAAAGAAAAAAAAGTACCTGTGTGCAAGTACTGTCCTTTGTCACTGAGAACAATGAAATAAGTGTGATGCTCTGCCTTTGGGTATAGGGGTGGGATCACGGAAGGTTTTGGCAAGCTACCATTTTGGTTGGAATCTGTCACTTTTAAGACAAAGCTGAGAGTATTTGACTTAAGGTAGGGTCAGTCTTGTATCTGAAGTCAGGATACTGTCTCTTGATTTAAACTCCTTTAAGATTTTCTCTTGGGAGAAAGAGGATGACCTTGTGTGATAGACCCAGGACTTTGACCTAAGCTCTTTCAGAACAGTTAAGCCTGTGTAATATTCTGATGGCTCCTGGAATTGGGCTAAAACCCAGTTTAAACATGCTTTTTCTGACTGCAGTGCAAATAATGTGTGTGTGCTGGAAGGAAGATCTCACTTTCCAGTTACTGCGTGCCTATCTGCTAAAATAGATGGAAGGACAACAGGAGTTGCCGGCAGTAGGGAAGAAGCTTAGAAATGTGCAGATGACAGCTGAAGGGTCTGATACGAACGCAGTGCCCGAACGTGCTCAGGTAGTACTGAGAAGGAGAAGGGTAGTAATTGCTCTGTCACCTCACTTCACTGTGTAGACAGTGCTTCTGATTCCTACTGCTTAGCAGCAGCTGATCTACAGAGCTGAGGACCACAGGCTGTCCTAGATCTTTATCCCAGCTTACTACCCAGAACAACCCACTTCCTGAGAAACCCATTAAGGTGATGAGAAGGCCTGAAGTTGCCAATGAACCCAACCTCTGTTCTTCAGGCAACTCCCGTAATAATGGAGGGGTATTGAAACCCAGGTGTCACACAAACAGCATCATACAACTTCCATTTCTGCAAGTGTCTTGTGTTCCCTCCCTGGACACAAGGGAGTGCATACACCTGTCCAAGGAATTTGTGAATTGCTGTATTGCTCTGAAAACAAAATCTGCTGCTTACTGTGCCATCTGAGTTGCTGGCACTCTCATTTGCCTGACTGATACCATCTGTGCGTGCTGCAAGCAACCCTGACTTTAATAGATCCTGGTTGGATCTATTGATTCAAAAAGTCAAAAAATGCATACCCTCTGGCACAGCAAACAGTGCCCCATTCTTCTGATGCTTGTTTTGCTGGAGACCTAACAGCGCTCCTACCTATCTGTCCTCTTTGTCTACACCGCTACTATCTGGGTGATCAGGTTCAACTACAACTGCAGTTCAAGAGAGAGATTCTCTCTCCTACTGAGTGGCTTGGAAGCAGTTGAATGCCCTGAGGATAAAAGAGAGCATCCCAGTAGCTGGTTGGCCTGAGCAGCTATCCAGGCTGTCCAGGAGTGACTCCCGAGTACTGCACTGCTCCTGCTTCGTGTTGCCTGCTGCAGGGCTGCTGCAGGTGGAAACCTGCTGTTTGTACAAACCGTTTGGTTCCTAAAGCTGGAAGACAAAATGAACAATGAGTCGGGCATGGACAGGATTGGAAAGATGAGAGCATAAGGGAATGCGATGATGCACACTGCTTGCTTATGAGCGAACAGACGGCTTTGTTTTCCCAGCTAACTGCCTTCAGGATGGCAGTGGTGGCCTAGTGCCTAGATCTTGACTTAGCTGCTACTCCTGAAGAGGTGAGGGAACCGAGGGTGTGCACGTCATGCCAAGGTAGATGCAGAGTGAAAGGTGCAGAAAGGTACACCGGGAACTGCGAAACTCGACCGGTGCCAAGGTCATCTAGTTGTAGAGAGATGGAAGTACAACCATAATTTGTTTCAGTTTTGCTCACAGCTGCCTCTAGAGATGTGCTGACCTGGGCCTCCTGCAGCTGCTCTCCTGAAATAAGGTTGCCTAAATTCTGCGCACACAAAAAAGCAGCTTTGGGCAATAGTGCTTCCTGCTCAGGGCTGGTAACCGCGGCTGCTAGAATTAGGCACAATATATATAACGGGTATGCGGACTGCAGTTGCGAGGAGGAAGAAGAGGTGTCCTAAAGGCGTAGTCCTGAGTTTATACTAGAGCTCAAGTGCTGTCGCAGTTACGTGGACAGGATCCGGGTACTAACATCCAGTCCGCTGCTCCTCTGACAAGGGAGGAAGGAAAGGCACATCTCGAAGTGTTATTGCAGGGAGAGTGTGCTGCCTTTCTACCCGTGGCTGTCGGATGCCTCGGCTGCTGATCAGGGTGGAGAAACAGGGTTCTAGTTTCGATCCAGCCTTCGAGCTAACAGCTGCAGACGGTCGAGTTCTGTACATTGGAGTAGATTAGAGATCAAAACGCATGATTTGGATGGGCCGAAAGTCCAGCTATGCCTGCATCCTGTCTCCAGCAATGATCAGTAGCAGATATTTAGGAAGAAAGTACTGTTTAAAAAAAAAAAAAAAAGAGAGAGAAAGGCAAGTGGTAATTGTTGCAAATGTGTTGCCTAGCAAAATGAAACGTGTCTCTTAAATTCTTCTTCACAATAGGTGGCAGCACGACTCTACCAGTGGAATATACGGGAACTTCGGCAGCACCATGTGAGATGCTTCAGTTTAATTTGGGTGTAGCATCTTCGTGCCATCTCAGTAAGCTTACTTGGGGGATTTCTTTGACCTGTGATTTTGGAACATTAGTTTCTGTAGGGTTTCTCATGTTTATATATTTTCTCACATGAAGATCATGCTAATTCTTATCTCTTAAAAAAATAAGGAGGCTAAATTCATATCTGAAGTATTAACTCCTTAGAGCTAAAATGGCCCAGGTCTCATAGAGAAGACTCAGAGAATTGCAGCCAAATGTGAAGGCTGTGTCTTAAGGACAACTGAGCGTTAGAAATGGTTCTAGATATTTGTATTCATAGAGTGAGGAATGCTTTCTGAAGTCCATATAGCTTTTTTTGCAAATCAGAATAATTCATGAGGGAGTCTGATCATCTTTCAGGATAATTTCTCTTAATTGTCTCTCTCTACTTAGTCTGAAGGTCCACAATATGGTATTTAACATCAGACCAGATCTTTATCTGGAATGTCTCATGCTCAGCAACATGTTTCCCAAGAGATGGAACATAATAAACCCATGATTTTTAATATTGGTACATGCTCCCTGACTAGCATAAAGGGTCACTGTTGTCTGAATGGGTCGATAAAACAATGTACAAAAGCACAGGGTGAAAAAAAATTGTTGAACTTGGTAAAAGGGTAGAATAGCTGTATCTTAACCATTAGTACATTAATTTTAGACCTTCCCTCTTTGATCTAAAATGGCCATTTTTATTGACTTCTAAAGTATGTTTTTTTCTGGAGACAGAGGATTTTGATGACTGATATAGGGTTAACTGTTAACTCCTACGATGCTGCTCGGCGTGACTGATGAAAGATGGGGATTGCTGCTTCAAAAACTCATTTGCC